TCGGAAGATCCATTTTCCACCGACAGTGTTGACGCCGGAAGGGGGAACGACATCGTCAAAGCTGTTGTTGCGAATGAACGACTCGTTCTCCACATCCATTGCTGCCTTCCACTCCTTCTTATAAGGCCCCAAGAGAGCTTCCTCTTTTGTGGGAGAAGTCGGAATGGTCGGGTTCTCGGTGAAGTTGAGGGATGGGCAGTCGGTAATGTCTGGGAAGATGTGAGAGAGAAATTGGCAGACCGCATGAAGGTCAAACAACTCCTCACGCCTGTCCTCCAGAAGTGCACGGGGGGGAATACGGATGGAGGGGACATTACCCCCGGCAGGAGGAGGGGGAGTGACCGAACACCGGATGGAGAAGGCGGCTGGTCCCCAGGCGAGAGGCGGAGCCGGTCCCTTGGAACGAGTGCGACTAGAGACCGGAGACGAAGGAGGCTGCGGTGGGACCAGAGGGACTGGGCGCCTCCGGTAGGAGACTAGTGAGCTGGGCTCGATGCGCGGGAAAGGCGAAGCAGGGGGAGGTGCCGCTACGGAGGATACCAGGGAGGCCGGGTGAGACACGCCGGACGGAGAAGGCCCCGGAGAAGGGGCAGCGGCCGGAGGTGGGGCATCAATGTCTGCCTAAACAAGCTTCGGGGCAGGTGGAGGAGGCTCGTCCGTGGTCGCAGAGTGGAAGGGGCGTGTCTCATCGAAGACGACATCACGGCTGCGAATCAGCTCTCTGGCGATGGGTTTGAGGAAAATGTAGTCTGAGGAGTCGGAGTTGTGCCCCAGGTACATGCAGGTCTGGGTTTTGGGACCAAGCTTGCCACCTTGCTTCCTGCGCGTGTGGGGGCTGAGCAGCACATACGCGGTACACCCCCAGACGCGTAGAGAGCGGGCGAAGGGCGTGACCCCAAGCCAGAGAGTGGTAGGTGTGGTGTCGGGCCGGTGGGGATGCGGATAAAGGCTGTAGAGGAATGCCGCATGAAAGAGGGCATATCCCCAGAGTGACCGTGGTGCGTTGGCGTGACTGAGGAGGCAGCGAGCGATCTGAACCAAGGTGTGGTTGCGGCTCTCTGCAATGCCGTTCTGTTGCGGGCTTTTGGGAAGTGAAGGGTTGCCGAATTACTTGGGCCGCACAGAAGTTATCAAGTTTGCCATTGCGAAATTCTCCCCCACCATCAGAATGGAGGCACTTGAGAGTAGTGCGGAACGTGACTTGAGCCTGGCGCAACCATTCCAATGATGACATCAGGTGCTTCAGCCTTGGTATGCTGGAGGTGCAGAGAAACAAACCGCGTGTGGACATCGACTAGTGTAAGAAAGTACCGATGACCGCCTCGGGATGCGACTGGAGCTGGGCCCCAGACATCCATGTGCACTAGGTCCAGCGGAGCAGCTGCGACGGATGGGGAGGAAGGGTGCGGCTGCTGCCTGAGCTTGCTCTTGGTGTAGTCCAGGCAGGTGGGTGCTGGTGAGTCTGTTGGTGGAGGAAGCGCCGATGGGAGGCCAAGAAGAAGTTTATTGGAAGCGTGATGTCGGCAAGCGTACGGAATTTGGGGTAACCCAAGCGATGGTGGTAGAGGATGGTTGGGTTGGCGAAGCTGCGACAGGAATACGGAGTGGTGTTGGCAGCTTGCGCTTGGGAGAGGGCGGCGAGAGGTGCAGGTGAACGCATCATGTAGAGGTTGCTCCTGTTGAGTGTGAAGCGTGCTAGGAGATGGTTGGACTTAGGGTCGAGGAGGTCATGGTGATCCGAGTGTGCTGGGAAGATCGTAATGACTCCTGCCCGTTGGAGCTCGTGTTGGGCCACGAGATTGTAGCGTAGTGTGGGAACACACGTGTTGGTGACACAGGCTGAAGGGAAAGCTGGGCACGGAACTGTGGAGGAGCCCTTGCCGTGTGTTGTGAAACTGGAGTCTGCTCCTAGTAGGGGGATTGGTGTCTTGTATGGCTTGAAGGAGTGTACTTCCTTGAGAACTGTCTGAGTGGCCCCACTATCGAGGGTGAACTATATTGTGGCTGAGGTGCTTTGTGAGCCGGGACACTGCGAAATTGTCTCATTAATCATGGCAGTGCCAGGGAACAACATGTTGAGGCGCACATCAGTAGGGGGAGCTACAGCAGTCTGCAAGGATTCCTGCGCTTCGACTTGATTGACCTTGCGATGGGCACAATTGACCATCCAGCTTGGCGGCTTCGAGGCGGTCCCATTGACGGCATACCACTCGTCATCCTTCTTCTTGAAGGAGGAGGCGAGGGCGTGGTTGGTGCCGCCACACACCTGGCTGGCACGAGGGCCATGCTTGATGACGTAGGGACACGGGGGGAAGCGGTTGCGCTGGAATTGTGCGGAAGCGGCATAGGCTTGAGGCACGGGCACGCGGATTGCATTGGCCTTGGCTTGAACGCTGTTGTCCTTTTCGGCAGAAAGGAGCGCAGATGAGACCTTGGCAAATGTGAGGTCCGCAGGAGCAAGGCCCAAGAGCATCTTGCGTGGTACTTCGTATGCCGGAGTGAGGCCGACTAGGAGAGCAGCTGCAAGGGCTTGCTCAGGGAAGACTCTCCCCAACTGCTTGAGTTCACCATGAATGGACGGCACCTTGGTGACATAGTCCGCCATGCCTGGTGAGTCTTCGAGCCGCACTTGGAACATGCTGGGGATGAGTATAGCAACCTTCAGTGCAGTCTTGTTCAGGAAGCGGTCTTCGAGGTAGAGCCAAATGGCATTGGCAGACGGGTAGTTGTGGTAGGTTTCGACGAGTTCGGGAGGAGTGGTGCCCATGAAGACACTAATGACCGCACCATCGGCCTTCTCCCAATTCTTGTACTTGAGCAGTGCAGCAGCATAAACTGCTTCGGTGGCGGTATTAGCTGGATCAGTGGACCTCTCGGGTTTAGGAGGCTGTTTGCCGTCACCGATGTTGAGAAGGACGTCGGTGAGCTTGAGCCCCTTCACCTCGCGGCTGAGGAGGTACTTGTCGACACCATAGCGCCAAGCCTTGTAGTTGGAGCATGTACCGTCCGGCTCGAGTCGAAGGAGTGGGATCGGGTTGGCGAGTGAAGTGGTTGAGTAAGCCATTGCTGCTTGATTTTCGTAAAGCGGTGCTCTTAAGTCACTGATAGGAATTTCGGTGCGCAGCACGTTAGTTCTGGAAGTCGGTCGACGAGAATTGCCGAAAATCACTGTGACGACTTCATCGAAATGCCGCTAAAAAGGAAATGGCGTCGGCAAAAATTCGTTAAAACGCCGACATGAAACTGAATCTGAGACTATCTCGAACCCCAGACCCACACACCCCCCCACACAACCCCAGGCCCTGTCCCGCAGCTACACAGCTCCGCAACCAGCTCCGCAACCAGCTCCGCTCCTCTTCCACCTGTGTACCTGCTCTTGCTTGACGCAAGACGTTCGTAGAGGCGATTCCGCGAGGGGAGTTCGCCTATTCTGGCGGGGTCCGAGGGGAAACTCGAGAACGAGTTTTAAGAGATGGTCGAAATTGAGATTCGACCAAGGAGAACCGAGGAGGAAGTCGACAATGAGAAGCGTGAAAGCTTCAGAGATGAGAAATTCAACGAGGTCGAGCGCGAAGGCGGTCGACGATGAGAGGCGCGACTACAGAGTGGAGCACGTCAAAATTCCGACGACTCGAGACGAGTCTTGCAACAATGCGCGGGCACGTTAAGATTAGGACCTTGATCCGCGTATGCGGATAGGTCGCTCTGATACCATGTAAGAAATAGAGTTGAAATGATTGATTAGGTAAGGAGCCCAAGGCTCTATAAGTACATGGCAAGGTGAGAGAGAATGGATGAAGGGGGAATTGGAGGGAATCCCTATTGGGATCTCCGGAATCTCCAATTGGGTAATTGGAGATTGGGGGGATCACAATTGGGTGCGGTTGGGATTTGTGAGTACTGTTAGAACTAGAAAGGTTGAGTTTATTGATGAAGCAAAGGCATTACATAGGAAGAGAGAGATGAGCTAGGAAGGGAAGGTTGGAAGGGAAAGGGGGGTTAGGACCAATCATAAGGGAGGGAGGATCCTTCCAAATGTGGTTGACCACCAGTTGGAGGTGGTCCAAGTGTGGTGTACCACCAGTGGTTTAGCCAACCCACTTGTGGTGCCCCCACAATTGTGGTCCTTGTGTTTGGGGGCTCCAACCACAATTGGGTTGGATTGACACCCCAACACAGGTGTACACCCAACTAGGGATGTAAACACAATATACACAACTAGCATAGCATGGTATATTCTAACACAACCCCATAGCATGCAAAGCTAGTGTATATGTAGGGTACAACCCCAGAATCAGGAAGGGGGGCGGGGCCCAAGGCCGAGAAGGCGGAGGAGGGCAGAGTGCGCGGTCTTCGGGAGGGCCTTGGTGAAGATGTCGGCCAAGTTGGCCTCTGCAGCGATCTTGCGGACCACCAAGTGACCTTGCTGGACCAACTCTCGAACGAAGAAGTAGCGGAGTTCAATGTGCTTGGAGCGGCCATGGAAGACAGGGTCCTTTGTGAGATGGATGGTGCTGGCGTTGTCGCACCAGAGGGTGGGACAGCGCTGAGGAGCACCGATCTCAGCAAGGAGGAAGGTGAGCCAGCGAGCCTCCTGAGCGGCCATGGTGCAAGCATAGAGCTCAGCCTCGCAGGATGAGAGGGCGATGGAGGAGGAGCGAGTGGAGCGCCAGCTGATGAGGCCGCTGCCAAGGGGTGAAGCCGTAGCCTTGGGAGGAACGGCGATCCGGCTGGGAGTCAGCCCAGGAGGAGTCACTGAAGCCAGAGAGGAGGGGAGGAGAAGAGCCTCCGAGGGTGAGGACATAGTCCTTGGTACCACGGAGGTAGCGGAGGACCCGCTTCGCTGCAGCCCAGTGCTCATCAGTGTGGCGACCGGTACCGACGAATCGAGCAAGAACACTGATGGGGTAGGCAAGGTCGGGGCGGGTGCACATCATAGCGTACATCAGCGAGCCGACGAGCTCAGCGTAAGGATGGTCAGAGGAGGAGGGAGCAGGAGGAGGGGCAAGCTGGTGGTCGGTCTGCAGGGGAGTGGTAACCGGCTTCGCCTGCGCCATGTCGAACCGCTGCAAGACTTGGTCGATGTAGAAGGACTGAGAGAGGGTAATGGTGCGCGATGTGCGGTCCCGGGTGATGGTCATGCCCAGATAGTGCTTGAGCTCACCCAGGTCCTTGCACTTGAGGCGCGCATGCAGGGCGTCCTTCACTTGCTGCATGGCGGCAGCATCGTCAGCAAACAGGATCATGTCGTCGACATACACCAGGATGAAGAAGCGGGTGGGAGAGGAGCGAAGGAAAAGGCTGGCATCAGACTGAGAGGCATGGAACCCCAAGGACTGCAGAGTGGCGGCCAGCTTGTTGTGTCACTCGCGAGGAGCTTGCTTGAGGCCATAAACTGGGCGGCGCAGCTCCCAGACTGTGTTGGCAGGGAAGGCTGCATAAAAGCCTGGAGGCCGCCGCAAGAGGACCCGCTCCTGGAGCTCGCCTTGCAAGAAGGCGTTGGAGACATCCATGGAGGCAATCTCCATGCCAATGCGAACAGCATAGTCGAGGATGGCACGGAGAGTTGGGAGCTTGGCAGTGGGAGAGAATGTCTCCCAGTAGTCGATGCCATGGGTTTGGGTGAAGCCCTTGGCACAATACCGGGCCTTGTAGACCGGCTCCTCACCCGGCAGCTGCTTCACTCGGAACACCCACAGGCCTTCAACAATGACGTCGTCAGGAGAGGGGACAATGTTAACGAATGAGGCATTGCGGATGAAGGCCTCGCATTCAGCAAAGATAGCCTGGATCCACTTGGCAGCATCGGGGCAGGTGATGGCCTCAAGGAAGTTGGACGGAGTGAATCTGGTGGGAGCGGTAGCGATGCCAAGGATGAGGAGGCCAAGGAAGCCCGGGTAGAGAGGCGTGAGGGAAGGTGTTTGTTGCTGAACGCCAATGAGCTCCTCATGGGAGTCCTCAATGAAGGGAAGGGAGGGTGGGGGTGGTGTTGGCCAACCCCATGGATGGCCTATGAGTGGGCCGTGAGAGCGAGTGTGGATGCGTGGGAGGATGAACGGAGAGGTGGTGCGGCGATGCCGATGAGGTTGCTGCAGTGGCTGCTGCTGCTGCTGCTGCTGCTGCTGCTGTGGCTGCTGCTGGTGCTGCTGCTGCACCTCCTGCTGCGGCTGCTGTTGCTGCACTGCCTGCGGTTGCTGCTGCTGCTGCTGCTGCTGCTCCATCCGCTGCTGCACCTCCTGCTGCTGCTGCTGCTGCTGCTGCTGCTGCTGCTGCTGCTGCTGCTGCTGCTCCATCCTCTGCTGCTGCTGCACCTGCTGCTGCTGCTGTTGCTGCTGCTGCTGCTGCTCCTTCTGCTGCTGCTGCTGCTGCTGCTGCTGGTGCTGATGCGATGAGGCAGAGTGAGCAGGGGAGTCAGGGACAGCTGGGTCGTAAATGTCACCTGAGGAAGGAGGAGGGGGAGGAGCAGGATTTGGAGGAAGGAGGGGAGCCTGGGGAAGGAGTGGGGAAATGACAGCATCAGCCCAGGTGAGGGGGCGGGAGAGAGGAGGAAGGGGGTCGGAAGGCGGAACAGAATGATAGAACGGGATGCTCTCATCGAACACCACGTCACGGCTCTGTAGGAGGCGGCCTGAGGACGGGTGAAGGAAGAGGTAACCAGGGGCAGAGCGAGCGTGGCCAAGGTAGACACACTCAATGGCCTTGGAGGCGAGCTTTCCTGCCTGCCGAGAGCGGTCAGGTGGGGGGATGAGGACATATGCCTTGCAACCCCAGATACGGAGAATGGCAGCATCTGGCTTGGTGCTAGCCCAGAGCTCAGTGGGGGTGACAGACTGGCGTTGAGGATGTGGGTAAAGATTAGTAAGGAGAGCAGCATGGACAAGGGCATAGCCCCAAAGAGAAGGGGGCGTGGAGGCATGAGTAAGGAGGCAGCGGGCCGTCTTGGTGATCTCACGAATGCGACTCTCAGCAACACCGTTCTGCTGAGGGGAGTGGGGAAGGGTATGAGTCTGCTGGATGCCATGGGTTGAGCAGTAGGAGGAGAGGGTGCGGTTGAGAAACTCACCACCGCCGTCGGAATGGAGGCGGCGGATGGGGCGACCAAAGTGGACTCGGCACTGCTCGGCCCAGGTAACGATGACAGCAGGGGCCTCGGCCTTCGTGTGGAGGAGGAACACCGAGGAGTACCTGCTGTGGTCGTCGACTAGGACAAGCAGGTACCGGTGCCCTTGGCGGGAAGGGGAAGGGTTAGGGCCCCAGAGGTCCATGTGGACGAGGTCAAGGGGGGCAGCAGCAAAGGAAGGATGACTGAGGTGAGGCTGTTGTTTGAGCTTTCCATGAATGCATGTGGCGCATGGGGGAGCGGAAGAGGACGGGAGGGGAGGAAGAGTGGGGGGAAGACCGTCAAGCAAGCGGGAGGAGACGGCTTTACGAAGTGTGGGAAAGTTCATATGACCAAGGCGGTGGTGGATGAGAACAGCGGGGTGGGACAATGCGCGACAAGAGCATGGGGAGGAGGTGGAGTTGGAGGAAGGTGGCTCTAGAGGGAGGGGAGGGGGGAGAGTGGAGGTGCCTGCACGAGTGGTCACGTGGCATGAGGAGGGGCGGGGTGTGCGGAGGATGTACTGACGAGAGCGAGGGCAAAGTGGGAGGCGATGAAGGAGGCGGTGAGTGGGGCCGTGGAGGAGGTCACAGTAGGTGGCAGAGGCGGGGAAGAGGGTAGTGATGCCAGCCTGTTGGAGTTCACGAATGGAGAGCCGGTTATGACGAAGGGAGGGAATGTGGAGACCAGTGACCACTCCAGAGGGGAAAGGGGGGCAGGGGAGGGTGGAGAGATGAGTGCAAGGGATGGAGAAGCTGGAATCAGCACCATGAACGTTGGTGGGGAAAGGGAGGGAGGTGAGGGTGCCGGCGTCTTTGAGGGCAGTTTCAGTGGCACCACTATCGAGAACAAAGTCAATCGTGAGCGAGGAGGGAGCTGAAGACACGGGGTACTGGAAATCACTGGCATTAAAAACAGAGGGATACATGGAAGTGGAAGCAGGGGAAGAACGCATGAGCTCGCCTAGAAAGCTGGAGTGGGAGGCGGGAGCACTAGGGGAAGGAGAGCCCCAGAGGGGAAAGCCAGGAGGACCTGGTGTGGCTGTGGCAGCCATGGCGGCGGTGCCAAAGCCAAGCTGCTGCTGCTGCCATGCAGATGCTGCGGCTGCGGCTCCTGCAGCTGCGGCTGCAGCCTGACCACCAGAGCCCCACTGCTGCTGCTGCTGCAGCAGCTGCAGTTGCTGGAAGCGGCGAAACTGCTGCAGCTCCTGGGGAGTTATGGGGTCAGCGACAGAGGAGGAGGAGGAGGAGAGCTGAAGATGAGAGGGGAGGAAAGACGGAAGAGTTTTGACATCCTGGAGAGAGGGGCGGGGATCCATGGCAGACCAGCGTGGGGGGGTGCCAGTGTTGCCGCGCTCGAACCAGGCGTCATCATACGCCTTGAAGCAGGTTGCGGGGGGATGGTTGGTTTGGGTGCAGCGCTCACCCGCCCTGGGACCAAAACGGCGAAGATAGGAACATGGGGGAAGAGTGCCAGGGCGGCCACCACGGCTACCAGATGAGCCACCACTGCCTCCACCACCACCACTGCTGCCACCCTCGACCCCGCCACCACCGCCGCCGGCTCCGCTGCCCCCACAACCGCCACCTCCACCCCCTCCCTGAGGGTTGGTGCGGCCGCCACGTGGGCGCCCGCCACGACGCGGCTGTGTGACTGCAAGCTGGGGGTTTTGGGACGCGGTGGAGTTCAGGCCGGAGGGGGGGGTTGAGAGAAGGCGGGCCTCAGCGTCAATGATCCATTGGACCACAGTGTCAAGGGAGGCGCGGGGCTGAGCCTCAGTGAAGGCGATGACGCGCACTTCATATTGAGGGGAGAGGCCTTCGAGGAGACGGTAGATCTGAAGGTTGGGGGGGAGAGTAGTCTGGCGAGCCTCAAGGCGGGAGGCAAGGTCCAGGAGACGGCTGGTGTAGTCAACAGCGCCAGCACTATGTTCGATCGTGATGCTGAAGTATTCCTTGAAGAGCGGTCCGACAGCATCGAAGTCGGTGCGTTCGAACATTGCCTCAAGCTCGAGCCAGATCTGGCGGGAGCCGACGCGACGTGCCTGGAAGTTGCGCATGAGCGCAGACGGGATGGCAAGGAGAAGGGCACCAGTAGCACGGCTGTCCGCCTCGAGCCAGGCGCGACGACGCTCAGCAAATCGCGCAGAGTCAGCGGCATAAGCGGCGGCGGTAGCGGCATGCTGGGTGCGGAGGGTTGCCGACCGCTCGTGTTCCTCCAACGCGATCAGGTAATCAGTATGGAGCACGAGGAACTCACGACGCTGAGTAAGGAAGAGCTGCTCAACTTCAGCGGTGGCAGCGCGAGTGCTGGTGCCAACGGGTACTATGGGGGGCGAAGGTTCCTCGCCGGGATGGGGAATGAGAGGGGGGGGATCGCCAGGGTGAGGCGGCGGGTCCCCAAGGTCACCCTCTGGGAGACCAAGCATGATGTCCAGGAGGCGGAACGGCAGGACATAAGCACTGCCGAGGACGCGGTGGAGGCTGCCGACGAAGGAATACCAGTTGGTTGCTGAGTTGTCGGCAGCGCGCACGAGATGATCGAGGGTCGAGACGTCGACGGGAGGGGGAAAGGATGCCATTGGTGACACGGAGTGGGAGGAAGGCGACGGCGGGTGGACCCGCGGTGGCCGGGAGGGAGCGGCGGCGGGTGGACCCGCGGCGGCTCAAAGAGGAGGGGAGGATGGGGATGGCTGTAGATACTGCTGCTGCTGCTGCTGCTGCTGCTGCTCCTTCTGCTGCTGCTGCTGTTGCTGTTGCTGCTGCTGCCGCTGCTGCTGCTGCCACTGCTGCTGCTGCCGCTGTTGCTGCTGCGGCTGCTGCTACTCCTTCAGCTGCTGCTGCTGCTGCTGAGTCTGCTGCTCCTTCTGGTGCTGCTGCTGCTTCTGCTGCTGCTGCTACGGCTGCAGCAGTGGTAAGGCGGTGATGAGCAGGTGCAGGTGAGGAGGCAAAAGATGGGGAAAGATGGCAGTTAGCTGATGAAAATAGGACTTGGTAGAAATTTCAGTAGCACTTCGTGATCACATCCAGGAAAGTGTGCAAACTTCGGAAAGCGATATCTGACAATCCAAGCGATGAAACAGTCCGAAATTTTACGACGTTGTAGCTGACACCAAGAGCGTTCTTTTGCAAGTCAAATCACTCAATTCTGTCAACTATCGAGCGAGCTATGGCGTTTGGCGCATTGGGGGTTTTTGAAAATCCACCCAACAGAAAACTAGTTGAGAGGCGGCGGCTAGGAGTCTAGCAGCGGCGATGGAGGGGACGGCAATGAGGTGCACGTCGGAAGGGGACGGGGCGGAAGCGTGGGGAAGGATCGGGATTTAAAAGTTGGCGTGAGCCATTATTGCTCTATACCATGTTAGAAACAGAAAGGTTCAGTTTATTGATGAAGGAAAGGCATTACATAGGAAGAGAGAGATGAGCTAGGAAGGGAAGGTTGGAAGGGAAGGGGGGGTTAGGACCAATCACAAGGGAGGGAGGCTCCTTCCAAATGTGGTTGACCACCAGTTGGAGGTGGTCCAAGTGTGGTGTACCACCAGTGGTTTAGCCAACCCACTTGTGGTGCCCCCACAATTGTGGTCCTTGTGTTTGGGGGCTCCAACCACAATTGGGTTGGATTGACACCCCAACACAGGTGTACACCCAACTAGGGATGTAAACACAATATACACAACTAGCATAGCATGGTATATTCTAACAGTCTCAGATTCAGTTTCAAGTCGGCGTTTTAACGAATTTCCGCCGATGCCATTTCCTTCTCAGTGGCATTTCGACGAAGCTGCCGGAGTGATTTTCAGCCATTCTCGTCGACCGATTACCAGAATTGCCGCGCTGCACACGGAAGTTCCTATCGGTGACTTAAGAGCGTCGCTTCGCGAAAAGCAAGCAGCAATGGCTTACTCAACCACTTCACTCGCCAACCCGATCCCGCTCCTTCGTCTCGAGCCGGACGGTACATGCTCCAACTACAAGGCTTGGCGCTATAGTGTCAACAAGCACCTCCTCAGTCGCAAGGTGAAGGGGCTTGAGCTCACAGACTTTCTTCTCAACATCGGTGACGGCAACGAGCCTTCTAAACCCGAGAGGTCCGTCGATCCACCGCCGAAGCAGATTATGCTGCTGCACTGCTCAAGTAGAAGAATTGGGAGAAGGCCGATGGTGTGGTAATTAGTGTCTTCATGGGCACCACTCCTCCCGAACTCGTCGAAACCTACCACAACTACCCGTCTGCCAACGCCATTTGGCTTTACCTCGAAGACCACATCCTGAACAAGACTGCAGTGGGAGTTGCTATACTCATCCCCAGCATGTTCCAAGTGCGGCTTGAGGACTCGTCAGTCATGGCGGACTATGTCACCAAGGTGCAGTCCATTCATGGTGAACTCAAGCAGTTGTGGATAGTCTTCCCCGAGCAAGCCCCTGCAGCCGCTCTCCTAGTCGGCCTCACTCCGGCATACGAAGTCACACACAAGATGCTCTTGGGCTTGCTCTTTGCTGACCTCAGTTTTGCTTAGGTCTCATCTGCACTCCTTTCTGCCGAATAGGACAACAGCGCTCAAGCCAAGGCCAATGCAGTCCGCACTCCTGTGCCTCAGGCCTATGCCGCTTCGGCACCATTCCAACGCAACCGCTTCCCCCCGTGTTCCTACATCATCAAGCACGGCCCTCGTGCCGGACAGGTGTGTCGTGGCACCAACCACGCCCTTGCCTCCTGCTTCAAGAAGAAGGATGACGAGTGGTATGCCGTCAATGGGACCGCCTCGAAGCCGCCAAGCTGGATCGTCAATCGTGCTCCTCGCAAGGTCAATCAAGCCGAAGCGCAGGAATCTGTGCAGGCTGCTGTAGCTCCCCCTGCTGATGTGCGCCTCAACATGTTGTTCCCTGGCACTGCCATGATCAATGAGTCAATTTCGCAGTGTCCCGGCTCACAACGCACCTCAGCCACAATAGAGTTCACCCTCGACAGTGGGGCCACTCACACGGTTCTCAAGGAAGAACACTCCTTCAAGCCATACAAGACACCAATCCGTCTACTAGGAGAAGACTCCAGTTCACAACACACGCCAAGGGCTCCTCCACAGTTCCGTGCCCAGCTTTCCCTTCAGGCAGTGTCACCGGCATGTGTGTTCCCACACTACGCCACAATCTCGTGGCCCAACACGAGCTTCAACGGGCAGGCGTCACCACGATCTTCCCAGCACACTCGGATCACTATGACCTCCTTGACCCTATGTCCAACAAGCTCCTAGCACGCATCACACTCAACAGCAGCAAGCTCTACACGCTGCATTCACCTGCACCTCTCGGCGCCCTCTCCCAAGCGCAAGCTCCAAACACCACTCCGTGTTACTGTCGCAGCGTTGCCAACCCAACCATCCTCGACCACCATCGCTTGGGTCACCCCAAATTCCATACGCTTGCCGACATCGCTTCCAAGAAACTTCTCCTTGGCCTCCAGTCGGCGTTTCCTCCACCAACAGACTCACCTGCACCCACCTGCCTGGACTGCACCAAGAGCAAGCTCAGGCAGCAGCCGCACCCTTCCTCCCCATCCGTCGCAGGTGCTCCGCTGGACCTAGTGCACATGGATGTCTGGGGCCCAGCTCCAGTCGCATCCCGAGGTGATCATCGGTACATTCTTACACTAGTCGATGACCACTTGTGGTATTTTTCTGTGCACCTCGTGCATACCAAGGCGGAAACACCTGACCTCATCATGGCATGGGTGCGCCAGGCTCAAGTCACGTTCGGCACTCCTCTGAAGTGCCTCCATTCTGATGGGGGGGGGAGGATTTCGCAATGGCAAACTCGATAACTTCTGCGCGGCCCAAGGGATTCGGCAAACGTTCATGCTCCCCGAAAGACTGCAGCAGAACGGCATTGCAGCGCAGGAAGCAAGGTGGCAAGCTTGGCCCCAAAACCCAGACCTGCATGTTCCTGGGGCACAACTCCGACTCCCCAGACTACGTATTCCTCAACCCCATCACCAGAAAGCGGATTCGCAGCTGTGATGTCACCTCCCCCGACGCTTGTATGGGCAGACTTCGATGCCCCACCTCCGGCCGCTGCCCCTTCTCCGGGGCCTTCTCCGTCTGGCGTGTCTCACCCGGCCTCCCCGGTATCCTCCGCAGCGGCACCTCCTCCTGGTCGACCTTCCCTGCGCGTCGAGCCCGGCTCACCAGTCTCGTACCGGAGGCGTCCAGTCCCCCGGGTCCCACCGCAGCCACCTTCGTCTCCGATCTCTAGTCGCACTCGCTCCAAGGGACCGCCTCCGCCTCTCGCCTGGGGACCAGCCGCCTTCTCCATTTAGTGTTCGGTCACTCCACCTCCTCCTGCCGGGGGTGATGTCCCCTCCATCCATATTCCACCCCGTGCACTTCTAGAGGACAGGCATGAGGAGCTGTTTGACCTTCATGCGGTCTGCCAATTTCTCTCTCACATCTTCCCGAACATAACTGACTGCCCTTCCCTCAACTTCACTGAGAACCTGACCATTCCGATTCCTCGCACAAAAGAGGAAGCTCTCTCGGGGCCTTATAAGAAGGAGTGGAAGGCAGCAATGGATGTTGAGAACGAGGCGTTCATTCGCAACAACAGCTTTGACGATGTCGTTCCCCCTTCCCGTGTTAACATCGTCGGCGGAAAATGGATCTTCCAAGTCAAACAACTCCGAGGCGAAGCTCCACTGTTCAAGGCACGATACGTGGCGAAGGGTTTCAACCAGAAGGAGTATCTCGAATTCTTCGAAGCCTTCTTGTCCACGGCCAAGCTCCCGACTATGCGCGCTCTCCTTGATATAGCCGCTCGCGGCAACTTCGAGATCAAGTCCATGGACGCCTCCCCCACCTTTCTCCAAGGCCAGCTCAAGGAGGATGTTCACATGGAATGCCCACCGGGGTTTCTTGGGACTTACCCTGCCAACACAGTGTGGAAGCTGAAGCGCCCAGTGTATGGCCTCAAGCAAGCTCCTTGTGAGTGGCACAACAAGGTGAAGGAAGTCCTCCTTGCATAGGACTTCTTTCCCTCTTCCTCAGATTCCAGTCTCTTCGTTCGTCACTCATCCGAGTCCTTCTACATCCTCGTCTACGTCGACGACTTCATTCTAGTCGCCAGAGATCCAGCAAAGATGGCAGCTGTCCAGTCTGCTCTCAGCTCCGCCCTTCTCATGAAGGATCTTGGTGACCTCAAAAACTACCTGGGGATGGAGATCACCCGTGACCGCCAGGCTTGCACGATCACGCTCTCCCAGGAGTCCTAGATCGACTGTTAGAAATAGATTGCAAATCCTACTTTTGTGTTTGTACTTTTATATCCTAGTTTAGGTTAGGAATGTTCTAGTGGGTTGGGGTGTACTCACAAAATCCCAACCTCACCCAATTGTGATCCTCCCAATCTCCAATTACCCAATTGGAGATTCCGGAGATCCCAATGGGGATTCCCTCCGATTCCCCCTTCATCCATTCTCCCTTACCTTGCCATGGACTTATAGAGCCTTGGGCTCCTTACCTAATCAATCATTTCAGCTCTATTTCTTACATGGTATCAGAGAGACCTATCCGCACAAGCGGATCAAGGTCCTAATCTTAACGTGCCCGCGCTACGCGCACCTCATCGTAGCAACATTCATCTCGAGTCGTCGGAATTTTCGACGTGCTTGACTTTGCAATCGCGCCTCAGATCGTCGACCGCATTCGCGCTTGACCTTTTTGAATTTCTCATCTCTGAAGCTTTCACGCTTCTCATCGTCGATTTCCTCCTCGGTTCTCCTTGGTCGAATCTCAATTCGGACCATCTCTTAAAACTCGTTTTCGAGTTTCCTCTCGGACCCCGCCAGCATAGGCGAACTCCCCTCGCGGAATTGCCTCCACGAACGTCTCGCGTCAAGCAAGAGCAGGTACACAGGTGGAAGCAGAGCGGAGCTGGTTGTGGAGCTGGTTGCGGAGCTGTGTAGCTGTGGGACAGGGCCTGGGGGTGTGTGGGGGGGTGTGTAGGTCCGGGGTTAGACTTGGGCTCAGATTTAGTTTCAACTCGTTGTTTAAACAAATTCCCGCCGACGCCATTTCCTTCTTAGCGGCATTTCGGCGAAGCCGTCTGAGTGATCTTCAGCAAATTCTCGTCGACCGATTTCCAGAAGTGCCGCGCTGCGCACTGAAGTTCTTATCGGTACGTTAAGATCGTTGCCTCGTGAAAATCAAACGGGAATGGCTTACTCAACCACTTCACTCGCCAACCCGATCC